TTATCAGATCATTTATATATTTTACTGAAAATTTAGATTCTAATGATAAAACACTTTATTTACATAACAATTGAATAAGGATAATAATGTATTAAGCTTTAAAATTAACTTGAAATTTATACCATATAAAAATAAAATTGAACTGAGTTTTACTATACATATATTATAGTTTGTATTTACTTGGTACACAATTACTATTACAATTTTAACAATTATAACGTTACAATTAAATGTTTTAATCGCAAAAATATATATCTTTTATTATGCATATGTGAATTTAAAAAAAAACATACTTATTATCAAATTATATTGCTTAAAAATAAATTCATAATAAACTAATTATTTAATAATTAAAAAATTATTGGTCAAATACATTTCTTTCTTTTAATTCTGGTGTCAACATTTTTTATAAATTATATTAAAAGATCGTAATATTCACAAGTAAAAAATATATTTTTGGTTATAGAGCTAATTTAATGTAATATTTTTCCAAAAAATAAATTTGTTAAAATGCTAAATATTTTTAACAAGCGTAATTTATCCTAATGTTTCAATTATTTATTTTATTTTGTTTGATCGAGCTAATCAATTAAATGCAATTCTATCAATATAATATAAAGTTTATATATAATATAATAATAATATAATCAAAGATTTTAATTATGAATCATTTAAGTTTTTTTCTACTCTTCATTCTAAGTATACTATAGACCAAAACAAATACTTTATTTGTTATCTTCCTGAAATATGTTAAATAACACCTGTTCGCACCCCTTATAAATTAAAAGACATCGTGTAATATTGTAAATACACCTTTCATCTCCTTCGTCTCAGGTCATTGAAAGGTGGTTGCCACCTTATCAAAATATGTGGTATGATAACGACACGACCTTGTATACACAATAATAAAATAAACAAGAAGTACAAAAAGTTTTGTTTGTCATAGTAAAAAAAAAATCACGTGTGAAGTTTTTATCAAATTCTTACGATTAAATTTTTACAAGTTGTTATTTTTACAATTTGATATATTAGTTTAACAAAAATGATTTAGTGTTGTTCAATCAGTATTTTGTAAAAGTAACAATCCTAGTTATGTTAATTGTTTATTTAATAGTTTTTTTAGCCATACAGATGGTAAAGTATTCGTGTTCATTATTTTACGATTGAACATTTATTTATAATACTTAAAACTTTTTTTTATTCATTCATTTATAAATTATTCAGTTTTCTTTGACGATAGTATATTTCAAAGATAATTGAAATATGATTTGTATATGTTACATAACAAAATACAATTTATTCTAGACAATTAAAAAAAATCATTAATAGAACAATTAAGGCTGAAAAAGTTTTTAAATTATTTGTTTTTCATTCATATACAAATGTTTTAAAAAGATAGAAAATATATCTCTGAACTCGATTAATACACAAAAACATATCAATATTATGGAGGCCATCATATGTTAGGGGTCCATTTAATATTTGGGGATCTTAGTCGAAACCAAGGATCGGAAGTCGTTGGATAAAATAAGTTAAATTATTGACAATATAAATAACGTAAAAATGATTGTATCATAAACTATGTCTTTAACGGTCACTCAAACACTACTACCCTTTTTTAGTTCGACGACAGTAGTTCCGGGCTACAGACGAGTAGAATTGTCATCAGTATTTCCCTTCATGCAAATTAATATGCATTACGAATTAAGTAAATGAAAATACAACGCGTAATATTCTTACAATAAATAAATGTGTTTAAATCTGAAGCAATCTCATGTAATCTATCACAGTTGTAGAATTTCAAAACTCATCCTACCGTCAATATTCTTGTAGTAATTATTAATTATATATTTATTTGTTGTTTGCCAATACCTAGTGAGTTTAATTTATTTAATCACATTTAATTACTAATACGCCTCGATTTTTATCCTCTAGTGTCTACATTATTTTCCACGGTCAGGACGCAAATAACACCTATAATGTATACTAGATTTATAAGTAAGCAATAATCCTATTAAAAGTAGTTAAGATTTCTAAAATGTACATATATACTTTGTATACATGCCACTTATAGTGTACAATTAAGACTAAATTAATGTAAATAAAATAATAAATTGCTAATAGTAGATCAATCTAATTAAACTTGATTCGGTTGCTTACGAGCTTTTAAGTACTAAATTTGGTCTTATTATACTACCGTTTATATCATTTGATCTTATTGGAATTATGATAAAATAATATTTAGAAACTTTAACCGGTAGTTGATATTAAATGAAAAACACATAGAGCTGTTTTCCTAAAAATTTAATAAATCTAATATCATTTTACGACTATATAACGTCGAAAAATATTTATAATTATTTTGAACACACAAATTGTATGACAAACAATAATAATAATCAAGCAATCAAAAACGAATTCTTATTATATTAAATTATACCACTTCATTTGCCCAGTCTGTAATGGCTTCGCAACAGTCATAATTTAATTGTTCATATTATGCTACTAATTATATTATTACGGTATTTTAAGGCCTTTGAAAATAACCCAGCGATATGTACGATCAAGATGTTTGCCGAAGTGGTACTCGCGGCATTCATCTTAATATTAGCAAAACAAACTTAGGTCACTTATCGTCCCCCAACATAAAAGTTTTCGATGCAAATTTGAATTTTATTCATAAAAGAGCCATTTTGTTCTTCTACAATCAACACAAACAAAGTTTCGATCTATGAAATCACCTGAGAGAAAAGTTTATGGTTACCTCACACACATTGCATCTTTCTTACTATTAGATATTGCTCCTCACACCGAAAACTTAAATATTTTCACCGATAGATATACGTTCAAATAATACATTTAAATCATCCTCAGTGCTAAATCAGTGCAAATTTATGTTGAAATGACATTATTATTATATTGTCTTATTGTAAAATTCTTAAACTAAATTATTTCAAATAACTTCTACGACAGAATTAACTTCTATTATACCTTCATTTTAACTCATTAAATCGCATTAAATATTCGTAATGACTTTTTGTCTGTTTTATGTCAATGAAGCATAAACTATGCTTTAAGGGTTCAAAACAATAAAAATCTTAATATCAGAGTCATTCTTCAAATGTTATGCAAAAATAGATATCATATATGCGAATCTGGAATTCTATAGCTACTGTTTCATATTTAAAAGTCGAAAATATCAAATTTCCGGTAAACGCGTTTGCTGGGCGGCATTTATAAAAATTTAAATAGAACAAAATGAAAATATAATATAAAAAACCACAGCGCAATTGGGTTTAGTGGGGATTCGGCCCCATTGACTTTTATGACTCATCCCTAGCGTACATTATAGTGTACGTAGTAAACGTAAATGTTAAGATCAGCATAAAATATCGTAGGACACAGAATACGTTTACAATATGCATGAATCCCACCTGAGAATAATCAACCACAAAATAGTGATACATAAAGCTGATTAGGAAATGTATACCTTCACATACACCGCGCACATTGGTTTATTTATGTATTATCTACTTTCATTTATTGGACATAGAAAAATATTTAGTTCGACGGAAATTAAAACATGCAATTTCTCTACGGATACTTGGCTAAGAAAGTTCTATTCGTTATAACTATGTAACCATATCGTTACATAGTTATTAACGAAATCAAGTTATAATTAAGACAAATTTTAACGATATATGTCAATAGCATTTTTATAATTTTGACTGACCAAATGACATATTTTTTCCGAATTACTTATTTAATATTTCTCAAATAGACGGACCAAATAAGAATTCTGCACCAACAAACTATTTGTGTTCTGTTTTTGACTACTAAGAATCTCAATTTAATAATTAAGTTTAGACACACAAAGAACGAAAAACATTTGTAGATCAAATGTAATAGAATATAACAGGATAAATTGTGTATGAAAATTTGATAGTTAAAAATTATTATTTTGTTTTTATATATTAACATTAATTATAATAATGTACAGCGAGGTGCATTACATTTTTTTGAAATATTTCACTATTTTACAATGGCATATTGTAAACCCAACCCAACCCATTGAGAATGTTATGTTGATATGAAAATCTTTACATACATACTCTACACAGTGATTTATTAAGTAATTTACCCCAAGTTTTCGTTTGACATAATGATTTTTTCATAAAAACTGTAATTTATTTGTTTTCACGACCATGATGGATAAAATTTTTTATCAAAAATATAAGTGTTTTTGGGAATTTTATAAAGTAATATTCAAAGCTCTTCTTCTTCCTCCCCTTAATCCCAACTACTTGGGTCGGCCACCCTTATCCTAAACTTCCACTTGACACGATCTCCCACATCCTCTATGCTCACATCAGCTGAAAGTAACATTCTAAGCTAAATCTTATAATTATTTTTATATAAATTTTTATAAAAAATTTAGGAAAATAATTAATTTTCCAATATTAAACTTCGAATTAAAATAATTTTCAGCTATAAGCAAAAAGTTTGACAAATTTAATTGTACTCTAAAGATATACGAATGATTTGCGAAACAAATATTTAGTTAATATAATATAAAATTATTTTCTACGAAATCGGTAATGTTGATATATAATTTTTACTTCTTAAATACTAAATACTAAATATTAAAAAGATCTAATTGACAAACGCGTGAAATATCAAAGCAATTTGACTATTTATAAATTTATAACACTTTTATTCTTAGAAATAAAAACAACTAAATATAATGCAAAACAAACTAAGTCTAGTTGTGCAACTTATTACCATAGTTGCGCTAGTATGCACCGCTATAGAATGACAGGACAATAAAAATAATAGTCTTTGAAAAATCGAATGATATTGACAAAAGCACAGTTTCTTTAGAGCAGTAAAACCAAAGTCATGTTTAGAGAAACTTGTTAAAATTGTGCATGATAAATAATGTTTTATACAACATTAATCTGATTTTTTTTTATCAAATTGAACATAAAACATTTTCAAAGATGGATGATGAACGTAAAATATCATTGAAAACCGAAGAAATCGAAGGACTTGATGAGGTACTTATTTTCGATAAAATATTTTCTAAAATGTAGTAAATATTTAATAGAATAAAATATTATTTTTATGTTTTGTATAGGTTAAAATAATAAAAAAATTGTGTATTTTAGTTAAAAAGGTTTTGTTCATAAGATACATTAACAATGTCACAGACTATAAACAAACTTAAAACTTTTTTATGATTTTGATAAAAAAATCTTTGTTCTCAAAACAAAAAAAGAAATCTTCAATTTAAATTTTTACTTCTTACTGCTTTTCAAGATAATATGTCTTAAAAATTGCGTGACAGAAAAAAACATTTTTCTTATACGTCAATAAAAGTAAAAATTGTATCTATTCAGTTAGACCAAGTCTTTGAGTCAACGTCATCAAAACACAATCAAACTCAACAGCTACGAGTATGGGAAGGACACAAATTATGCGTGGATCCGAAAAATGCAGAATCTTATGAAAAAGAAAAATTTCAAGTCATCTTTACAGTAAACAATTTTATAACGAAATTGTACATTGATAGTCAGCACTTAAAAACCAACGGTTAGTTGATTAATTCAAATTTAATATGATTTCAAACAATCAATTTTTAAATTTTTATAATTGAGTTTTTGTTTATTTAGAAAATTTATCAAACAATCGGTTCCAAGAAATTGAAGAACGCCTCTTGGACCAGTTATTAGTTGGTCACGATTTACTAACAAGACTAAGGAACTTACTCACTATGGAAAAAACTGATGCAGTAATGGATCATTCGTTGAACAGAACTCGATTTTTTAAAATGGACGATGACACTAGTAATACAGTTTGTTAAACCTTTTGTTAATTAACTAACGCAATTAGTATGTGCATATGTGATATAGTTATTTTGTATAGGATTTCAAGAAGAAAGGAAAGACCTAGAGCGAAAAAGAGCAATGGAGGAAAAAAAGGTTAAAGTTAAATGGTTGAATGACATCATTGAGTCCATGACGGCGAGGTACAATAATGTGGTAGATTTAATGAATGCTTCTATTGATTACAAGTTTTTGGACGGTAAATCAAAAGATTTTACAGTTTTATACTGTCTCTACAAAAATGTTTTATTTTATTTAATATGCTTTCATGGCTCTTTTTAGAGTTTAAAGTAAAAACAGTGAAGTTGGGATTGAAGAAAAGCGCCTATAGAAAAACAAAAGATGTTAAGGTAAGAGCATAATAATAAGTCATTTGGAAAAGTTTTTAGACTTTGGCTAACTAAAAAAATTATCAAAAGAAAGAAATAACATCTACGTGTCACTAAAATAATAAAAGTGTAAAATAAACTAAATTTTCTTTTTAATACTAACACTGAGTGTATTATGAAACTTAATTCTATGATTAAAACATCTCAAATATAAAAGCTTTACCATTTTAATAGAACAATTTACTAAAATTTACACTATATAAGTTTTTATTAAAATAAAACTCGATCATTCTGTACTAATAATTCATATTTTAAGAATTCAGTTAATACTTCGTTTAATTTGACTCAATATTATTTGTACTATTATTACTATACGTGAAACAATATTTACAATAAATCTTTCTTACTACTAGAAATAAGATTGTGAAAAATTTACATTCAAATCTCATAATTACAAAATTACATAGTATCATACTATGATGATAATTGCTTACAAAATTCACAAGGTAGTAACAAGATATTTGAGTTTGATATGTTTTTTTATAATAAACATTTCTTAAGTATTTAATATCAGTTCCAATGTATTAAAAAAAAGTATTTTTACCCATGAAATAATTATTTTTTCTCGATGAATAAACGCACCAATATAATTGTATCCATTAATGTTCAACCGAATACTTGAAGTATAAATTACTTCATTATAGTAACTAGGACTTTTGATATCGAATCGTTACAGTGTACAGTACACCTTGTACTGTCCTTATAGAAACAAACACCTCTAAGAGTAAAAACATAATGATACTCATAGGCATTGCATGTTCTACACATTCCAAGAGTTTATTGCATTCGACAAGTTTTAAATGTTAATAAGTGTACATTTAATGTCTAGCATTAGAACTGATTGTGGATCTTATCTTTTAATGTTTATCCGGTTGTAAAAAGAATACTCGTTTAGAAAAACAATTCGGAAAATAACGTAGGTACCAAATAATCAAGTGTTTAGCACATTTATAATTATGTACAAATTTTTTTTAATTTTGTAATCATAACCTTTTTTTTCCACACGGTCGACATAATGTCGGCCGCCCTGGAACTACCGTGAGGTATTGCTTCAGGGCGACCAACGTCGCTATAAAGCTCACACCGCCGTGTTGTGACTCAGCCCGAAATTAATCAAGAGCTGAGTCACAACACGACGTGGCCTCCCCCGTTAGCCTGTTCCCGGAGTGGGATCCGTTGTCCAGTTCGCACCACGTGGAGGTGAGGGTAGTGCTTTGCTGTGGCTTGGCATAAAAATTCACAAATACACAGAAACACACAAGTAGCTAGAGGACAGGAGATACCTTAGGTAGGCTTCTCCAGTCCTCCCACCTTCTTGGGGCAGTCACTGGCCCGGTGGCTCTCTGCCCTGCACGAGAAACACGCACTGGTCCGGTTGGGACCGCTACAGGCCGTCTGCACGTGCCCCCTCTCGAGGCACCTGTAGCAGCGCGGTCCCTTGTTCTTTGGGACCCAGATCCGGCACGTGCTCCATCCCACTCGGATTCACGTCAGCCCGACCAGTGGTTGCGCAGCCCTAATGGGCACCTTGCACCACGCGAAGCGCCTCTNGGCACGTGCTCCATCCCACTCGGATTCACGTCAGCCCGACCAGTGGTTGCGCAGCCCTAATGGGCACCTTGCACCACGCGAAGCGCCTCTTTAACCTAAGCGGCCAACAGGTCGGCCTAGGCCCCGGTACCCCGAACCTCCAGGAGCACCGCTCCCGTCTTGGTTCTGCGGGTACCGGAGACCACGACGCCCAACGCCTGGAGGTCGACAGTTGCCATGACCCTCTTGATCATAGCCGAGTACTTTTGGTCTTCTTTGAGGGGACCAATAATAACGGCCTCGGTCCGCGGGGTCTTTACCTTTATAACGGGTCTCCGCGCCGAGGGGGGGGGTCTGGGGTTAGGGTGAGGGTCCACCACTGGTTTCGGCGTCTTGCGCCTTACAACCTTGTAATCATAACCTTAAATCATAAGAAGTATTCACTATTAAAAATAAACTATTTATAAACATAAATTGTATATAAATTAAAAAACGCTATGAAAAAATTAAAGATAACTATAAATTTATTGTAAGCAGACTTTAATTGCATTTTTTATCAAATATATTCAACAGCTATAAAATTTTATTTCAATTTTGAAAAGTAAAATATAATGAACATTTTTAAAAATATTATTTTTAAATGTTATATTTTCGTATAAATAGATAAGTCAAAATATTTGACCTAATTTCAAAACATATTTGATTTATTGTTTGTAACTTTTATAACACGCAAAAAATATTTAAACTATAATATTCGTTAAAAGCATATAATCTATAGAAATCCAATAAAAATATTAACCTACAATTTACAAATATAAAAATTACAGATTCTCTAAATTCTCTTTTCGTGTCAATAGGTTTACTAGAAAAGTTCTCAAAACGCCTTAACATTCATAAAATACCTCAAATCTATGCAGCTAGTCATAATAACTAATTTTAGGTGAATAATCTACTAACACATTTTTATCAATATAAAGACCCTTTCATAGACATATCACACATTTAAATACTTTGCTCACTTTGCATGTAAAAAAAAAAAGTATATACATATTTTTATATAATGTAAGGTCTTTGTTTCAAATATTGAAGAATGTTATTGAAGATAAAGCATGTTCTAACCTATGCACTTAAAACTAATTTGAAAATAAAAAAATTGTTGAATGGTAATTCTTTGCAAGACATCACATATTTGTAATGTTTAATAAACTTTAAATGAATATATATTCTTTTGTAATTTAACGATTCTCTTACTCTTAATAAATAATTATATTTATTGAACAAACTCCAAGGTGTTACAATGAATAAAGTTAATATTACACGTATACATATGTGTGTATATAAATAAGGTACACAATACAATCAAATAGCTAAAAACTTGACATAAAATCAATGTTAGTATTTTTTTAATGCTAGGTACTCTGTTCTTTTTCTGAATCAACGAAATTTTAGAATTATTTCCGACTTGCTTCCAATTAAATGATACCCATCAAATTAACCATTAGTAAAAAAACACTAACAAAAATATTACTTTGACTATTTCTAATTTATCTTTAAGATATTTTATACGGTAAATATATTTTATATGGTAAGGAAATGAATAAAGTTTGAATCGTTTACCAATAAAAAATAAAAATAAGAATCGGTCTAATGAGATACTATTACGTCAAAATGACTGCGTTTAACAACTAACACGGATAAAAGTTAAAATTTTATTAAAGTTTTGAAAGAAAAATTGTACGTTTTTGATACTGAATCATTAGTTCACGATAGACATATTTAAATACACATGAAATCTTTACAATGATAGTTGTAAAAATATCTTTAATCCATAAGTTTGCGCCTTATATTATACTTAAAATTCTTATCTCTAAAAATATTTAAATTTTCTTAGGACAAAAACGACGATAACATAGAAACTGCTTTGATTATAAAATCACCAATTGAAATTTTAAACTCAAAAATTATTGACTCAGAAGTCAAAGCTACATATCGTATCATAGGAACAGACGTGACAAGCTACAAAACAGTTTACTGCTATTCGTGTACCTTGTACGGTTTATACGGTATAAACTATGTATTTATTATTTCCAGTTTAATACTATCAATATCATATAAATATTAATAAGCAATAATTAATTTCAGTGACGTGACTATGATTTATATCTCACATATATAGGATAATTTTTCATTATCCCGTCCAAACAAAAAAAAAATGAAATTTTCACTAAGAATTTTTTTTGATTTAGAGGAATGTATCCTCTTTCATCGTTCCCTTATTACGCCCTAATAAATGTTTTTAATATTTTTTTTCTTTTACGTTATTTTCTTAAAAGTATTTCTTAAATTGGTTTATTATTTTTAAAGTGTTGCGTTATCTAATTAAATTAGAAAAGTGTTTAAAAAAATAATGCTCTAAAATGCTTTCAAAAATTTGTTTAAGTTTCATTATAAAATAAATAGAGACGTAAAATGGATAATTTTTTACTATTTAAAACAGAACATCGTATGTACGGTTAAAGTGTTACATTTTAACCCTTATGTATAAATGTTCAATTTTATTCTTTATTACTGCTTAGAAAATATTTGTTGTATGTTATTATACGACATTATTATTATTATTACATTCATTTTAAAAATTAATTTCATTAATATGACTTTAATTTTTTTTTTAAATATTTTAATAGATGTTTACTTATTTAATCGTTTTTTTTTTTTTTAATAAACGATATACATTATTTTATCGTAGCCGAAGGTAAAGGTTCTAAAAAAGAAAAAGCCAAGGAAGACGCAGCAATAGAAATGATAAAAGTCATACTCAACGAACAAAATGATAACACGTTATCTAACAGATTGGAAGCTTTTAATGAACAAGAGTAAGTTTTAGATAATTTTTCATTCAAAATTTTATCGAATAGCAAGTTAGACTATTAATTATGGAAAATATTTAGTTATTCATTACTAAACATTTTTGTCTATTCAATCAATAGAATCAATGAACTACAAAATATTTTAAAAACCAAACAGAACTACGCTGAGTTTTTAGAAGAAGTGATTCAAGATGAAATTTACTAAAAATAAAATAAAAAATTGTATACTTCTGATACAACATTCACTACCTAGAATAATTACAACGATTCCTCGAAAAACCTTAGAAATAAATCTCTATTCACATTTGCACTTTATCACCTTAATATATAGATCAGGTTTGGTCCCCTTCCCCAATATGGAACATGTAAATTTATATATTTAAAACAACTTTAACTATAATACATAAAACAAAAAAAAAATTTCTCAATAAGTGTTATAAAATCCTCTGAGCTCTTATTGATACCCTACAAATCAAATATAATAATAAATTTGAATCTAACTAAACCTTGTTTGATTATATATTAGCTAAATTACAAAATGTATAAATACATACGAGTTATACTATTGTTAAAATTTTTTCTTCGACCAACAAAAAAGTAGAATACACTTTTTCTTAAGTACGCCTTATTTTTAGTTATATGAGTTTGTACCATAACACATTTATTTGTAATTATTACTTAATTCTATTTAAAGCAATGTAAGGATATAAATTACTTTTTTTAAATCATTTAAGAAGTATACCACTCAAATTTTATAGATAAAGATATACCTTTCACGATACGCACATATCATTTCATATAGAAAAAATAACACTGTTCACATAAATAGGATTTTATTTTGGTTTTGTGCGCATGATTAATTTAGGAAAATTTTTTTTTTATTAATTTAATACTTAAATTGACAAATTTGACGAAAATTAAATATCTCTAAAAAAAAGTGCTTTTGGAACAATAACATTGTTTTATATACATTTGTGCATTGTGCAAAAGTAATTATTATTATTTTTTTTTTTTTGACAATGGCTTAACTATTAAACAAATTGAAATATCTTGATTTCTCTGAGATTTAAATAATGAACTAATAGTTTTTTAACTAAAATGACTTCTTGCTCGATAGCGCCCATATCTTGTCATTAATTTAACTAAAGTTCTCTAGAAGCATTTTTTTTTTTTTTCATGATCGCTAATTCATTTTAAGAAACTATTTTCTTAATGATGTTTCAAATAAATTAAATCCGACTATGTTTTCGCAAAACAATGCCTACTTTTTAGATTTTATAGTTATACATTTATTAGTTTTAATTGTATTTTTCTTAATTGTCTTTTGTTGAATTTCTATTTAAAAGTGTAAAGCTATTTTTAATGTAGATAATTATCAAATTATTAGCATACTAAACATATAAATAAAATAATATTATTATTACCTTGAGATTACGTGTTTTCATTATTTAAAAATCCCCGTGTATAACATTATTATACAAAGAAGTTTATAAAAAATAAATCACATTATAGTAAAACCAGTACCTCCTCAGCTTCGCATCGAAGCTAATAAATCACAAACAGTAAAAATTCCGATTTTTAAGTAAATAATTATAACCGTTTAATTTATGAAATATAAGCTAATTGCTGTTGATCATATTATACGAACGTTTCTTTTTTTCTATATTTGACACATTACATACATACTTTGTTTATAATCTATTTCTTGCTGATTAACATAAGTGTTACGTGATTAACATAATACAAATCTTAAATATGTTATCGTAAAGTAAAAATTTTAATTATTATTTTGAAATTAGACATTTAATGTTATTAAATGAAATTTTAAATTACGTTAAAATTAAATGACTTCTTAAGTATTTGATTGTTACTACATAATTGTTTAATTTGATTATTTTAATAATTATAGTATAGCAATTTTAAACTTTTAATTTAACAGGCTAAACTTATAAAGATATTAATTGGAAGTACATTTTTATTCTCATTCATGGTAATTTGGTTGCGACCCACGGCAGTCTACCACATTTTTTATAAAGTATATAATCATAGGAAAATTTTAAAAATAAAATTACGATCAAACTTGCTAACGTTAGATTCAATACATCAAAAAATATCTTATGACTAGAAGTTGAAGTCTTACACAGACTATTTCGCGGCAAATCGTGTATCTAAAAAAAAAAATCAGAATATACTAAATTCAACTTATTTTAATGATTAAAGGCAACAGTATTATTAAAAATATATTTACAATCTCTTCCAAACATTTTTTTTTAGTACCTGGACTTTGGTTTAATAAAAACGATTAAAAATTAAAAGCCTTTATTACTTCTAAGAAAGTTTTTAAACGATCCTTAAATAAATACTATAATAATACACATGAAATAATAAATATTTTTGAGACATTTTTATGACGAACAAATATATAATGATTAAGAAATTACTTCTACATCATTCGTCAACTTAATTCAAATTTCAAAAAAAATGCTTAAGTTATCAAATAAAAAAGGCAATTTTATGGATGAATTAATAAAATATTTCAAGTGTAAAATTTAACGATCCGCAGAAATATTTGAAAACGTTTTATAAATTTTATAAAGTTATTTTTTGTATTTATTTAAAAATTCAAACATTGTTTCTTAACGTATAAAAGCCATATAAAATTTTGAAAAAACCAATACAATTCACTTAGTATTTTTTACTCACGGGAGTTAGATAATATTCATCGTCTTCTTGGTCAGAACATTTAATATCATATTGGTCTATTATTAATGATTGGTATTTAATCAGAAGATCCTGTTCATTCATTAGTTACAATATTAAGTAAATATGTTGATTAAAAAATATCTATACAAAGGGTGTAATTTAACCTGAAATGAAGGTGCAAATAAGCAGTCACATCGCCAAGGGTTGTCTCCTAGGTAGAGTTGAACGATATTACGATTTCTTTGGAAAGCATTATCCAAAGCATAGGTCGGCACCTGCTTAAAAATAATAAAATGATTCAAATGATTCAGAAAGATTGTTGATTTTGTTTTTTACTAACTTTAGATAAGTTATTTCCTTTAAGGCTTAAAACTCTACATTGTGCTAACCAATGAGACCCTTCCAATATGCTTATTGAACTAAGAAGATTATTGTCCATATGGAGATCTAAAAGTTTTGCATAATACCGATTGTTCAGCAATTCTTCTAATGATGTTACCTAAATAAAATGTAACTACTTACCTCATCAAATTTTTTAATTTTACCTTGTCAATGTACATTTACAATTAATTTACATCGTCTTTGTTTTCAAAATGACATGTGTAATTTTGAATTATTTATACATAATTTATTTTGTGTTGTATCGTTAAAAAAAAATATGAAGGTGGTCGGATTTGTTTTTAAATTTATTTTAAACTTTAATTTTTAGGAAATATTGAATTTTTTCTAATAGCTTTAAATATAATAACATTTTTCTTACTTGATTGCCTTGCATTAATAATGTCGTTGTATTATGCGGAAGTTTTTTGGGTAACATTTTTAACCCTCTATAACTGCAATCTACGGTTATTAGAGGATGTAAATAAAAATAATTTCCTCTTCCTCGAACTACATTATCTAATGTACAAATACAATTATCTGGTTGATAAGGACATTCCTTTTCCATTTCCTAAACATTAAAAAAACAATTTTTATTTTTTAGTTAGTATTATTGTAATTGAACATTGTGAAAATTGGATAGTAAGAATTAATCACATATGGCTAATATTATTTAAAATTAAAAATATATATTTATAATATTAATTTAAAACTAAAATATTTAATTCAACAACATTGAGTTAATCTATTTAACTTTTTTAGTTATATTTTTTTATTTTAAAAGTTGGACTTAAAAAGTTCTTTGTTAGTTCCCGTCTCTCAACATATATTGTTTCGTACGAATCTACCGTATCATTCGAGTCTTAAGAAAATATATTAAATAAATACGATTGAAAACAAGAATAATGCACTTTTTGTATTTTAATATTTTATAATTATTCAATTGATAATAATAATTAACACCAATATTATTGTCAATAAATAAATGGATTTATAATTTAAATGGTAAATTTTTATTCATTTAAAAAGGCTAAAATATTTTTCCAAAGCCAGCATTTATCGAAATTCATGTTGTTTGACATTTTGATACAATAAAGTTAATTATTCTCTATTGAAATATGCAAGCAATAATATTTAACTCGAACTTAACAAAACTTATAAACACAATATTAATCTTACGGGTTGGGAGATCGTAATTAAAAGCCTTTCTCTCGAAATGACTTGCGAAATACGGCCATCTTACATTCACACTGCGATATATAAAATAAAAATCCACCATAATAATCTGCAAAGATTTCGAAAATAAATATATATTTAGACACAAAGAATTCTAGAGAACTCATTGACAAAATAATTTAATTTGCACTAGAAAAAATAAATAGGTTGATTTTTTAAATAAACTCAGTGTGTATCCTATTATTAAAATAATTACTCAATAAATAACAACTATATATGATGAATTAGCAAATAATTAAATAAAACTTAGTTTTTTCTTTTATTCTGTTATACATACTTTGTATATAAATTTTTTAATTATAAACTATTACGTAACAGAATTATTAATGAACTACTAACGTATAAAAGACGCAACACGGGAATCATAGGTTTTCCAATGTATTTATAACCACCACATATCATCTTATCTGCATCCATTACTTTGAATATAAAAGGTTCCTTTGAAGATTGAAGTAACCACGTCATATCATTTTTACAAAACCATGATTGCCCTACAAAATTATATGTAATTGACAATTTTTATGGAGATTGACTTCACTACTAAAGTTTCACTAATTAAAAATTACCTCCAATGTAGGAGTAAACAAAACTTACCTGCTAACCAAATTTGTTTTAATTTCGTCATATCCTCAATAATTGAAAAAGAAAATTGATTAAGTTTGTTATAGCTTAGATCTAATATCTCTAAAGAAGACAAATGCATAAACGCGGACGATTCAATTCGTTCTAAGTTTAAGTGGGATAAATTTAGAGTCTGAAAAATATTTATTATGTACAATAATATATTGATGAATATGAGAAATATTAAAAAGCAAAAGTAAGTAGCTATTAAGATTAAAAATATTAAAATAAAATTATTTATTAATTTTATTATTTCATCCATGACTTTACAAGTTATTCAAGTGACTACAAGTCTATGATTTCTAATACGATTTGTTTTTTCTAGTCGGTCAAAGACAAATTAAGAGGTCAATATTCCGAAAAATATCTTAAGAGATATTTCTTAAGAATTAATGAACTTTCATATGACGCTGATACAAGTATTGATTTTTAGAAATTATCAAATACGTATTTATTAAATATTTTTGATTGATTAAACGTATTGGAATAGTAATATGAAAAGTACAACCCTATTAAGTTAGGTTATAAAAATCTTATTATATGATAAAACAAGGAAAAAACGCTTTTCTGGGAAAATTACTTGGCGTGCTCCGATTTTCGAATTTTTTTTTTTCAACCAAAGTACTCAATTACCAGACTCCGGGAAAATTATTGGCGGAAATCGAAAAATGTTTGCCGCTCGCTCGCAAGCGTTTTAAATTTTTGACCGTTTTCAATAAAAACGCTTGTTGACGACAGCGTTTTACGACATAAGGTTTGAAATTTTCATCAAACCGGCCCAATGATATGATGAAATAATCAATTCAATCCGTTCATTTTTCACCATTTTACGAGCTTTTTTTTTTATTTTAAATCCACACGCATGATTTTAATATGGGCATTGACTCATTTTTACGCATATGTTTATTCTGAACCTTATTTTGTGTAATATGTATTTTTATTAGGACACTATTTTGCATATGCGCCTAGCACTATATTTTATATATATATTATCAAGGATTGTCATATGTTATATATACATTTCAAGACGGTTATAATTATATAATTCTATACATTCATTATCAGAACATTACATTATTAATAATCTTATTTTTCCCATGTATGAGTCTATGAGTTTATCGTTTCAATTGGGATCCATGTATGAAAATTTTGACGTTGGACAACATTCCAACGTCAAATCACAGCTACCAATATTTTGATCAAAATTAAATTTTTTACATTGTCCAACGTATAATTAGAATATTAATAATTTTTACCAAGGGTGTATTTAAAGGGGGAAATGGCCCCCCTTTGAACCAGCGCTATCAATATTTTTTTAGGCAACTTCTATGAAATACGGACTTAATGTCATTTTTTTTTTGATCAGCACTTTGATTTATAGCAAAAAAATTCTATAGTATGTTTAACAAAGTAAAAAAATATTAAATACCCTCCTAAAATAATTTCTGAATACGCCTAAGGAGAATACCTCATTAATAAACGTCAACCTTTTTGAAATTTCCTGATTTTAATAATTACATTTTTAATATATTTTTCTTACACTGATTCTTATGTAATATTTTTTTCTACAAAACACTTATTGTACTCGGCGTAGCCAAGTACTCCTACCTGAATCAGTGGTCTACTTATAATGACGGCTCGAAGAGGAATCCCAGCTAGGCGAAGCTTAGTTTTTCATGACAATTAATAAATGTAACAAAAAATTTAAAAAATGTATAAGAAGCATTAAAATTAATAATAATGAATAAATAAAGAATTGGATGATAATTATCCTTCATTCTGCAAAAAGTCCGGATTGAAAACTACCGCCCATTTAAATAATCCGTTAATTCGAAAAATTATCATTTTGTAGTATAGAATAAGTATTGATTACTCAATATCTATAATTAAATCATTAATATTAAATTTATTTAATATAATGGAAATAATTATTATGAATTTAATAAGTATTTCGAATTAAAACATTAGGAACCATAATCCGGTTACCATTCATATTCCCAAATGACGGATTCAATTGATAAACTGGATTGGCAGATTTAATCCATAATCCAGATTGACCAATTATGTGTTCAGCTCTATTCTGAACAGTGCCGGCGCTGTGATTTGCGAGGTACTAACTTTTAATATAATACATAAAAATATAGTGCATTTAAAAATTAAATATAATTTTTCAATGATCAGCATTTGGAAGTTTGTAATTAATCTTATCTAGTCTAACAACTTACTTTTAAACTTTGCATATTTTCTGGGAAAACACCAATAATTGTTTTGATCTCGCTATTTATTATTGTAAATTTTGCTAACTTAGAATATATATACAAAGATGTTGCCGGTTCAAAATAGTCAAATGGCCAATGACAAAACATTAAAGTATGAGCTGAAAAATATCTAAATAATATCTTAATAATAATTATATTAGTATTATGTATAAGTATAAATACACATCTCTACACACTAGTAAATAAAACTAACAAATTAATACATATTAATTTTTCTTACTCTTCATCTAAAAAATCACCATGAAATCCACCACTGCAGCCGATTCGTAGTCCATCTGGTCTGTAAATACTGATACATTTATTTTGAGGTATATTTGGAGCACAAAATTCACTTAGTTTGATGCTGTTAGCATCGTTTTGTATCAACAGAACTAACAAATACCTACGAATTAATAATATAAACTACAATAGTTTAGGAAGTTATTTCAATTTTTTCGGGTACATATAATATTGATTAGGCATTTTTTTGTAGGTAATGTAATGGGGTAGTGTGGAGTTGCCATAAATGAAAACATGAAGTTTTTGGTACCCTAGTAATATAATTTATGTATCATAAATGATACCCCAGTAATAGAGCCAACTTAATTCACTCTATAATAAAAAAATAACAGATTAAATATTGTAGGTATAACTCACTTAAAAATCATTTGGTAACCATCCATTTTCTAATTTTTATTAAGTTTGGTGATACTAAACAGAGGATACACTCATAACCATTATTTATACTTAGTGGAGTTTATTCTCTCGTCAAAGCAAGATAAAGATGACATTTTAATGACTCAAGGTAAAAAACAAACATTAGATTATATATTTTTGTGACAAAATACAGCATTAATTTACTTTTTACCTAAATATTCAATGAATATTTCAACATTAGAGGATATCTCGCGAAATAAGGGACTCGTAGATTTAAATAGTGAGATAGAGGATGAGAGGCTGTGGCATTAATGAAAAAGAATAAAGCAGTAAAACCAGATGAAGTGCCATTACAAGTATGGAAAATATTAGGCGATGTTGACATAAGGTAGTTGAAGGAACTTTTAAGTAAAATCTTATTAGAAGGGAAAATTCCAAATGAATGGAGGAATAGTATTGTGTTGTCGATATTTAAAGGTAAAGGTGACATACAAGAGTGTGAAAATTATAGAAGCATAAGAGAATAAGAAATAAGACATCGGTATCTAAAAACTATTTTGGATCTATGACTGATAAGCAACAATGGAGCCAGTATTTTTTGTGAGGCAACTAATAGAAGAGTTTAAGAAAAAGAAGAAAAAGTTGTGCATGGTATTTATAGATTTGGAGAAAGCGTATGATAGAGTACCGAGAGAGGTTTTAAAGTGGTCATTAATTATAAAAGGAGTCCCGTAAAAGTTCCTTAATATAATAGAAGATATGTATGATGCCACTTGTACCAGGGTAAAAAGAGTAGGAGTAACAGAAGGTTTTCGGGTAAGAGTAGGAGTGCTGCTTTAAGCCTTTACTATAGTGATGAATGAAATTACTAGAGAAATACAAGGAAAGGTGCCGTAGTGCATGTTGTTTGCTAACGATATAGTATTAATAGGAGAAAATTAATCAAAGGCTAGAGGTGTGGAGATCAGCTCTTGAAGTAAAGGGTTTACGAATAATTAGAAGTAAGACAGAGTTTATAGAATACGAGTTTGACAAAGGAGAACACGAGGTAGGTGAAATAAGGAGACCAGTAACAATAGGTAAGGACGTGATTGGAGAGGTGGAAAATTTAAAATATTTAGGATCAGTTGTGCAAAAGAGAGGTGGTATTTAAGGATGTAAGACACATGGTTAAAGGGAGAGGTTTAAGTGGAAAGAAGCGTCTGGTGTCTTATGCGATAAAAAAATTCCAATGAGGCTGAAAGGTAAATTCTACAAGACTGTAGTGAGGCCAGCCATGATGTATGGTTCAGAGTGTTGAGTGGTTGATAAGAAAGTAAAGCAGAGAATGTAGCCGAGATGAGAATGCTTAGATGGATGAGTAGAGTGACTAGAGAAGATAGGATAAGGAACGAACATATTAGAGGTAGTATAGGTGTAGCATCAATCGTAGATATGATGAGAGAAAATAAACTTAAATGATTTGATTATGTTATGAATAGAGATGAATCGGAAGCTGTAAGAACAGTTATAGAAATGAATGTTGAAGGAAGAAAAGGTAGAGGAAGATCAAAAAAGAAATGGAGGGAAGTTATTGACAGCGGATGTGAGCGTTGAGGATGTGGGAGATCGTGTCATGTGGAAGTTTAGAATATGGGTGGCCAACCACAAGTAGTTGGGATTAAGGCGAGGAAGGAGAAGAAGATGAAGAAGACCTAAATATTCAATGAAGATAAATAATCGAGATTAAATTTTTTTTTATGAATACTTTATATTGTCTATACTCAGTGATGTATTCAAGATTTCACAATGTAAGAGGGCATAGTAAAAAAATGTACAATATTCCATATTTTAGACTTTTTTTTTGATCATCACTTTATTTTATAAATGAATATTACTGTCAATGGATAGGCCTGAGCTCCTTAGCTACACCATTATTTGTATTTATATAAAAAAAATCAAATTTTAAATATAAGCAAAAAACTTGATATATTCAACTAGAATAAGAATGAAACAGTAATATTACAGTTATAATAAAATTAAAACTTAATTTTAATTTTTTATACAATATTAACATAAATTTATAATAAAATTTAAAGATTAAAATAACATCAAAGTATTACTACAAAACAAAAACTTTAATAATAATTTAAAACATATTCAATTATAAATATATTTTAATTCATTATAAAAGGTTAATGTGGTTTAATGAAAAACTATAAGAAATAATTGTAACTATACATTGTTTTTATCACATTGCATTTTACATTATAAAAATTGAAAATTAAAATACTATTTGGGTAAGAACTTATAACTTATTATACTTTAATAACTATATTTATTGTAAATATGAAGTAGGTAAAGAATTTAATTAATTTTAAGTTATGTAGTTCAATTTTTTTTTTTAATACTTTATAACTTAAAAATATATAATTAGTTATTTGATAAAATCGATTTTTATTAAACTTTTACTAATAAAATTTATTATAAAATGTATAATATTAACAATATAAATAGAATTTTAGGAACTGGTACATAATAAAAGTTATTGTTCAGTAATGATGAACAAACTAAATTATTAATATTTTAAATCAAAGTAGATAATTTTATATCGATTAATAATATACCTGAAAAATGATATTTGTTTTTTTAGAGGATTTTAAGATTTGAATAAAGTATTTATATAATATACATAATAAATTATGTAAAATTTAAAGTAACTTAAATGTTTTTCTTTTGCAATGATAAATAAATAGCATTAACACTTTAAAACTTTAAAAGTATTCAAACAATAAAATTTTTTTTTTTTATTATGATTTAAAATTAAATCAATAAAAATTGAAAGAAGTATTTCCTTTGTGAAATCTATGACCAAGAAAACCATGATGAGTTGTTTTGACCAGATGATGATGATGATGATGAAGGAGAATGAAATAAATTAGAAAATGCTGAAGTAGATTTTGGTGATTGTGGATTGCTAATTATTTCTTCGCCTTCAATTGAACAAGCATTTACTTTTGTATTAGTTTTCCTTTGCATTTCACATTCATAAGTACGTACATCTACCAAGGTCATTAAAATCCAATCATCAATCCATGCAAAAGCTTGTCGGTGACCAAGTAGAAGAATTTCTCTTATAGTCTGAAATTAATTCATCATATATAATATATATTACAATATAATATTTATATATTTATATAAATACATAAAATTATGTTTTATAATTTTTATGCATAACTTAAAATGTATATTATCATCTGATTCTTTGTAGATTTATATTTTTGTGTTCCCAAAATTTAAAAAAAACATATCGAACAGTCTTGAAAATCCCAGAACACTTAATTTCTGTGTGTGCCTTGTACTTACTCTTTGTATATAATCTTCTACTTTTGTCTGAATCCCCCACACTTCAAAAGATACTTCAACTACTTTATAAGAACACATTATAGGTGTAGTACTGTTTCTCCAGTTTTCTGGAAGTGGACCTCTCAAAGTTTTTTTAGATTGGAAAAATTTCAAATCCTATAAAAATAAATAAAATACTTATTACTATTAAGATTAAAATATAAATAACATAAATATTAATACATTTAATATAATTTAATTTACAATAAAAGTTTTAACCTTAAATACATTTTTTTATTTTACAATTATAAATTAATAGTTAGTAAAAAAAAATATTTTTACTATTTTAAATTGAAAATGCTTGAAGGCCTAAATAAAAACAAGGTGTGGAAATAACATGAAAAAAATCATAGACTTGCACTATTTTTATACAAATGTTAAAATAACTTATTTTATTTACCTCATCTTCTTTGTAATGCTTAGAACTAACTTCATCATAGGCAATATCAACAAAATCCACTGTTCTCTCTACAAGCTTTTCACCAGATAAGCCGAGACACTGAAAAAAAAAATAGGTAATATTAAACAAAACTTAAGTATTTTAAAATTTTAAATATTTAAAATTTCATTTTGATTGAATTTTATAAATATATTTTTCAATTTTATAAAAACATTTAATAAAAAGATTATATATTTGTTAATTTAAATTATAATCTTTATACTATAAAAAGAAAATTCTATAAAAGATAGAACTATATCAATAATTTTTGCTAAAATATAAGTATTATATTACAATGACATATTTTTAATTAAATTAACAATTTATTAAACCTCAAGATTTTTATACTTATTTCATACATAAAATACATAAATGTTAATGAACAACAAAAACCTCTTTTTCATAATTCTTATTTTTATAGCCAATTTTTAGAACTTAATTTATATAGTAAGTACATGTTTGATATTACTTAACAAAAATTATTATAATCTTTATTTATCTAAAAATTTTCATTTAAAATTTTAAGAAGAAACTTTACACAGCCTTATACAAAAGCTATAAAATACTGTTCACATTTTCAGAATTTTATTAAACTCGTAGCCATAATAGCCTTTGTAGGTGTAAAGTGTACAAATCTAATTAAAATAAATTATATTTAAAAATAGTTATCAAGTCTTATAGAAAATTTAGCATAATACATTTTTTACATAATTACATTTTCTGTGATTCCTGCATTGTCTTCAAATTTGGTGTGAATAGTAACACATAACTTTGGAATAAATGAACACTAAAATTTAAATGTATTAGTTTGATAATTTATAAATATTTATTCAAAATAAGCTAATTCAAAAACAAACTTACCTTATATTCTTTAAAAGTTATAAATTCACCAAAAACAAATAAAAATTAATTAAAAACACATTTTACTAAAATTAAATAAACATTGAAAAATTATATTTACCTGTTACGGTAAATGGATAGTAGTTCCAAGATTTTTCAATGATGTAAAATACCTTAGGTATGATTGATTGAATCCAATACGGCAAACGGCTATAAAAAGAAAAGTTATTTTTAGACACAAGAAAATATAAATTTATAATTATTTTTTTTGATATGACAAAATTTAGAACAACTTGATTAATGTAGAGTTTCAGTCAAAAACTAATTAAATATTATAATAATAGATTAAATATATATTTTTTTTTAAACAAATTAATCAAAATATAATTCTTGATTCCAATTCAATGGCAAACAATTCAAACATTTAATTAACTATAATTTTATAAAGAGAATTTTTTTAGTAAAGACTAAGCCCATTTCTCTTTCTAAGCTTGTTTGATATGAAAAAATTTAACATAGAAAATAAAAAATCTGTTTTATAATAACTATATAAAATATATTATAACCCAATTTTTTTGCAAAAAAAAAAAAAAATCCCATAATTATACTATATGAATTGAAATATTCTTTCATGCCTTGAAAGGTGTATTCTTTTTTCAGTAAACTGTCCTTTACCATGTACAGGATCCTCGCATGGAATATTGACTACAGTCTCCACACCCTCTCCTTTCTCAGTTTGTTCAAAGCTATGTCTTGAAATCATATACAATTGGCCAATACGATACTGAAAATTAATAAAACCATTAAATCTTCTTTTTGAATTCAAATAATTATTGTTATATTCCAACTTAAATGTATAATAATTAATTCTAGTTAATATATTAAAGGTTTAGTAAAACATGTATTGAGTGAATTTTTATCGTATTTCAGAAGAACAGTTTCAAATTTGTTTTAACTATAATCTCTTAAGTAACATCACTTATATAGTGCGACCTAGTGTCTTATAAACTAAATTTCTACTTCCCAAATTCATACACAATATATTCAACATAAAGGTAGTACAATTACATAGCTTACTCATTTTCATAAAACATGTCCTAAACACATTTTCTCTAGGATTATTTTATCTTTTTATTGTATCAATTATTTTTTATTTTTACGAGAAAAATTTTAATTTTATCCCTTTAAAAATATTTTACTGCATAAAACATTATTTCTTATTTTAGAGGTCAGAAATTTAGGATTTGATTACTCGATTGTGTTTATGCATAAAATAATTAAAGGAAATTCTTTCTATGGTTTTTACACATTTATAATCACTATGAAAAAAATGTAGTTTAAAAAAATAACCCAGCAAAAACTTACTAAAAGCGCAATTTATATTAAGTTACTATAATATCTCTTCAGAAGGGAAAATGAATTATCTAACTAGGATTATTCATAGCTATATATCGAAAATTAAAAAATTGTGTTTACGTTAATTATACATAGATATTTAATAAATTAGCAAACGGGTTTCTATTGTTTTCATTGTAACAATTGACCTGTTTTCTTACTTACTGAACACTGTATAATAATTATGCACTTGCTATTGTTTTTATTGAATTAAGCAAATTATAGCAGCAAATTTTTAGCTTTGATGTAAAGCTGAGAAGGTATTGATTTTACCAATATGTTTTTTTTTTGTCTGTCCATAAAAACACTCATCTCTCAATGGGCCAAATTTTGATGATTAATATGTCAAAAGAATCTGAATTTCATCTAGTTCAACTCCAAAAAGTTAAAAAATCCCCCTCAATTTTAAAATTTAAAAAAATAACTAAATTATTCAACCATAAAAAAAGCGTATTCAGAATTTTAAAATAACTTCTATAGCTATAACTTCTTTAAAAAATGCACTGATCTTAATAAAATAGATATCAGCAATACTAGAGACAATGAATTATTTTTGATATGCTTTTAATGTTTATTTAATTTAATACGTAAGTATAAAAAGAGTTAGAATAAAGCAAATAACCCACATTTTTGTTTAATTCTTAAAAATATCTAAGAACTTATAACAAATCAAAGTTTTTTAAATATTCTTTATGATAAATAAAAAAAACGCACCGACAATTTTTCCTCTATCAGTATTGGGCGGCTTCAGTCTTAAATTTTTCATTTCTTTGTTTATACATAATTGCATCAAAACCATTTATAATTATTTTAGAACTCTAATATTTAATTACTTTACAATACCACAGTCAGATATCAATCTATACTGGGAATTAGTCCACTAAGGGAGGTCCTAGTGTACAGAAGTGTTTTAATTTTGTACTAACTCAGTAATTCCAACTATATTCTATTAATATTTGTCATAATTTCAGAAATTTTCCTAACAAACTAAATTAACGACACTAGATTTAACAGCGGCATAAAACAATATTTGCATTTAACTCTTTCCCAACCAGTTCATCTAAATTTGACTAGTATAAATCCAACCTACTGGTTAATAACCGTTAAGAACTAATGACAAACATTCAAAATAATACCACAAAAATTACTATAATTTCGGACCTAAAAAATGAAATGGTTTTATTTTTTATCTACAAAATAACATCTTCATAACAAATTCCCATAATGAAATTTGTAACATCTTTACCAAGGGCGTCAATTTTACACAGATTAACAAAACGGTTGACAATACATAATCTGCTTATCATAATATTCACAACTCAATAAGTCAACAGTTTAGAGATATTCAATACTGTTGTGATAAATTCTAAAAATTTTTGATACACTGAATATATTTTGTTGCATTATTTTTTAAATCATTTTTACAGTTTAAGAAAACATTAAAAGCATATCTTTTATTATTTATCTCAAAAATCATTTTTTTTTAATGGATCGATAACATTTTAGGATAGGTATTTATCGAGTAATAAGCATTATTATATACAGAGCATATAGCGCGATTTAGTACGAACTGTACCCAATCGCATAGTGAATATATACTTCGCACTGTTTTCTAAAGTTACGATATGAAAGTTTGTAAATATAAGTATAATATATAAGAAAATATTATAATAACCATTTTCTTATGAAATACTCAATATAATTTTAGTGATGCAAAACGCACAACACAATAGCTAGAAATTTTATGTAATTGCAATGTTTTAAGAAAAAAAAAAATGAACTAGATAATAAATTTCAATCATAGTTCACACTACATTAAATGTAAAACTTATAAAATAATTTGTTTATATTATATTTATTAAGGAGTGATAATTAACAAGTTAGTCAATACCTCATAAATATATTATACTGTATTTTATTTAACATTAATTTTTGTTTATTCTATAAAATATTACAAATAAATAAACCGAAAATAAGAAGAAAAATATAAGTGCTATATATTAATAATAAATTTGTTTTAATTGATACATTAGTGGTCTTCACTTGCCTCAATTTTACTGTATCCTGAATTTTCATTTTTATTTTGTATACAAAATACAAAAAAATTAAAACCCATCAAAAACATTAGACCATACATTTTTAGTTACATATATACAAATAACCAAAATTTTTATAAATATAAACAATGAATATCATAATACACCCACTATGAAATTATATAAGCCATTTAAGAGCTGCAATAACAAATGGGCTAATGTTTAAAAAAAACATTAATATGTCAATTAGACCAAAATAATTCAAGTAAATTAACATTTTTAACCATACTATTTTTATTATACAAAATTGTATGTACATAATAAAATTACAACTACCCATATTTTTCTGTGTTGAGAAAAAAATTTCTTGAAAAATATAGAATACAATATTGATAGACTATGAATAGGCTATTATGAAATCAGGTCTGAATAGAATTTAAAAAATTAGCTAAAAATAAAACTAATAGTCATTAATATACTGAAGTCATAAGGATAAAAATAAGTGTCTTTTCAGTCAATAACAGTTGCATCCTCAGCACTGTTTATATTGGCAATATCTACATCCAAACTTTCAATACCTTCTTCTCTAATTAAATTTTCTAATTCATCCTTGGAATAATCAGAAGATTCTTCCATTTCATTAGAATTTTTGGATGATTCTATGATACCAGCTTCAACTGCTAATTGAGTCAAAGCTGATTCAGTACTAGCTGGCAAATCAGAGGATACTTTTACGGAAGACGGTACTTTAGAATTTATCCCAACAGGTCTTGGAGTGCCTGAAGTATTTACAATATTGGTATTTTTAAGCTGAACCATGTTACCACTCGAGTTAGATGTCAGTATGGCCATATTATTTTGACCACTGACCATTTGTAGAGTGACCGGTTTACCACCAATTGTCATCCCTGTCAAATTTGATTTACCAAGAGTGACCATTTTTCGAGTACCAGCTCCTGCCATTGTTATGGTGATAGGTTTACTTCCAGTTGGTGTATTGCTACCCGATGATACCATTACCATTTGTACAGGGGAGTTGGAAACACTGGAACGATTAGTAAGGTTAGCTTGAGATGCTGAAAAAGTCTGTATACCCCTAATATTTGATCCAGTAGTAACAATTATTATTTGAGGAGATGCTGATCGATTCGTATTTCCTTTTTGGATAACAATTGTTGGTTTATTAGCTACTGGTAATCTTGTACCAACAGTTTTTAATGGAACAGTTTTCATGGTTGCATTAGTTTTAATAGGACTATTTTGTTGATTAATTGGAGGATTAATAAACTTAAGAACTGATGGTTGCATATTTTTATTTGGTGTAGTTGTACCTATCATTTTTCCTGGAATTCCTTGTATTAAATTACCTTGACTTGTTTTTACTAATGTAACAAAATTTGATTGTGAACCTCCAGGTTTTTGAAAAATTACCTGTTTTCCAAAAACATTTGATCCAGTTTTTAGAACAGTCCCAGCAACAGAAGTTTGCAATGCTGGACCTGTGATTCTAACTGCTTGTTGTTGAGGTATAGTTGTACTAACAGGTGACATAACATTTTTAATTGACCTCTGAGTTTGAACAATTTTAAATGGAGCACTTGCCGTTTTAATAACAGGTTTAGGTTGTTCTGTTTGTTTAGAAACTACAACAGTTGTTTTGATCTTTTGAGTAGCAGAAGCAGCAGCAGCAAGAGTATGCATAGCAGCATCTGACATTATATCCATTGAAGGGGAACTAACAAAAGAAGTTGAATTCTTTGATGTAACAGGACTTATAGCTTTGAAGTTTTGTTGTAATGATGGTGTTATATTAGTACTTTGAACAGTTTTAATTTTCATCGTTCCAGAAGCTTGAGCAGTTACAGGAGTAAATGGCTGATCTTTAATTAATGTTGAGTTAACAGTGCCTTGTGGTAATATTTTTATCATTTGATTTGGTTTAACAGGACTGCTAGAAGGTTCAGTAGTAGGCACAATTGTACAATCATCATCCGTGTTCTTTTTAGCCAATTCAGGAGTTAAGAAAGGCAATAATGAATAATCAATCATAGATGGTGGTGCAGGAGCTGCAGTATCTGCTGGTTGATCATACTTTTGGATTTGTAAGATGTAAGCATCTGCAGTTGGTACACTGTTCCATACAATTTCCAAAGCATTAGTAGATGCTCGAACTAACTGACTTTTAGAACACTTTTGAGGCTTATCTACTTCTAAATACCAAAGATCTTTACAACATACTTGATTATTCCATGCTTTTCTATAGCCATCTCGGCCAGACCATACATACATTCTAGTTTGTATATTTGCTGCACAATGACCAGCTCTAGCTCTAGGCATATTATCTTCATTCATATCCATGTTTAATTCTTCCCAAGTCATTGTCTCTAAATTTAAACATGCCAGTTGATTAGTACACTTCCATTCTTTTTCATGAATTGGCAACTTTACTTCTTCCACAAAAGGAACCCATCCACCAAATACAAACATACGATTTTTTATAGTAACAGCGGTATGTAGTGATCTTGGTAGAGGTTTAGGGCCTAAAACAATTGGTCTATTCCAAGACATAGTATCTATATCTAATGTCCATAAATCTCCAAGACGACAACCGCTCATACCACCATAAATGATAAGTTTACATTTTCCTCGTGTATCAGTATACGCCACAGCTGTATGTGATTCTCTAGGTGGAGGAAAATCACCAACTGTTTCAGGTATATCCCACGCTAAAGCATCAGGTGATGATATATCTAATGTATATAAATCATTTAAATAGCGTGGGATATTATTCTTGGGATCATTACTATCATTAGCTAGACCACCAAATAAATAAACTTTGTTGCCAATTAATGTAAAACTATGACCCAATCGAGGACAAGGAGACATATGATATAAAGGAGGCCTTGGCTGCAGTTTACTCCAGTGCCATCGACAAGCTTGTAGTTCATAAAGTTCATTTGAATACTTCCCATACTCAACCATTCCTCCAAAAATTAATAATCTAGTATTATCAACAACTAAACCATATGCTGCACACCCTGGTGGGATATCACCAGATGTTTGAGGTATAAACCATTGGTTGTTGGCAGCATTATAAACATGCAATTCATCAACAATACCTTCATTACCTCCACCAAATACAATTAATAAATCTTTTATAGCCACTGCTCTGTGCCCATGACGCGGCCTAGGTTGAGGCCCAATAGGATCAACAATTTTTTTCCACTTTAAAACTGGAGTTGAAGATACAGGTTCTATTTTTACCTCCATTTTATCAGCACGTTCAGTATTCAACAACATGTTTTGTTAATTATATTCTGAAATAAAAAAAATTCATTATAACAATAAAAAAAAAGTAAAAGAAAACTGTTTTTAAATCTATTCATAATAAAATTAAGTGGTAATATTAACTGAAATGGAAACTTTGAGATAATGTATTTCAATCTTTTAACTGTAGTATAATTTATAATAACTATATCACTATTAAATAATTTAAAATCAATGTTTACTTTTACTTACTTACCTTAAATTGATGAAAAAATATTTCAATGCAAAAAATGCTTCATAAATCACTTTAGAAAAAAATAAATAAAAAAAGCTCAAAGTTTCCATTCAATCTTTATTCTAAAATAACATACCACTAATTTAACAAAATATAATGTCACGCGAATAACAGCAAAACACATAAATGTTTTTAATAACAATTAATAGAAGTACAAATATAAAAGATAAACAATGAATAGATGACATTTTAGCTCCACCATAATATGCATTTTTCATTACAGTTATGTAAACATTAGTAGTCTTTTTTAATTTCTTTTAAAGTTTCTTGTAATTATAAAAAATTGTTTTCAATTTATAATTCATAAAACACATAACTGTTTAAAATGTATTAAATATAAATAATTTAACAAACTGAATCTTAAATAATAGAAAATTATCACTGTATTAGTAACATGAACTTAAATAATTTCATAAAAAATAATAACAATCAATATTTCATAAGTCATTTGATAATAAAGAATTGCATAATTATAGTATAACAATGATGACGATTTACAAAAAGCAAAAATAATATGAATCATTATCTATCAATATATAAGACATTTTCATATAACAAAATTAAATAAAGTTATGTACTTGCATTACAGAATCAATAATCAATTTTATCTTGACTTTAAATAAATTATAGTCTAATGAAGAATTAAAAAAAGGTAACTGAAATCATCTATAACATTGCTTTAAACTAATATAGATAATATTAAATATCCGTTTTGTTTCTATAAAAAAATATTGTTTATTGAAAAAGGAATATTTAAAAAAGACACAACAACTTAACGATTTTAAAGATCTTATTAAAACACCTACTTATTAATTACCAAAATCTTTCAAAATCCATAAAATGTATTCTAGTATATATAACTAAATATAAATTAAATCATAAAATAAAACTTTTGAATAAAGAATTGGAAGGAAAACTATGTTAAATAATTTTCAAGAATATTTAATGGCAATTTAATTAAAAAAATAAAAAATTTGGAAATGTAGATTACCCTGATTTATAATAAAACTGTGTTTCAAATATTATTCAATACAGACTAAAGGATGTAAGTGTGGTAAATTATAATTAATACATAATTTATCCATTAACCTGTATCTATATTAAATGTGATTGCAAAATAAATATCATAAATACATTAATTATGTTATTAAATAAATTCATCAGAGTTGTATAATGAGTGAAACTGAATTTAGATTTTAAGTAAAAATACATACAAGTTGTTAGTTTATTCACAATTAATAATATATTGTTAATAGTAACAAATTAAAATACATATCTTTAAAATTCAGCAAGTCATAGGTGAAATAACCAGTAAAATAGTGAGTATTAGAAAACGTAGTGACAAATGAAGTTTATTAATTTATTAGTTAGTACTTAGACCCCAAAAACATAAATTATAGAAGTCAAATTTTCACACCCAATTAAAGGCGGAATTCAGACCTTGGAAACATTGAAACAATGTTAACTGATGAATACAAGTTTCTAATAAGAGAAACGATAACACTTAAGACTAACTGACGGTACTTCTTACCTCTTCAACGGTCAATGGCATGCAGATACGATACTCTTTGATCAGGACCATGACAGTACGGCCGGTAGAAACGCGGCTACATACAAAGTACACAGATATTTGTAAACAGCGGCGTCAAAAGCAGCAGAAACAGTTATACAGCAAAGGCGGCAACAGCGGGAGGCGACAAGAGCAGCTGTGAAAATTAACCAAAACACCAAAATTACTACAACTGAAGAAAAAAAAAATTGTAAATAATCTGGATCAGTGGAAACGTAAATACAAAACACTGCACAGGCCGACCATGTATATTTTTCGGTGCAACATATCGCGTAAGCGGCTTGCTTCGGTGTAGTTTTACACTGCCCTAAACACAAGTGACGCCGGTGGTGTCCTTATGGTTTACCGTTTGTGTCCATGGAAAGTAAAATTATTTGTGTCTATTACAGTTATGCCACGATCTCACTACTTATAAAAAATTAGCAACCTACAAATTTTTCAGTTTTCTAAACATAAATATTTTAAGTGTAGGTAGTCAAAAATTAACGTTTTTTTCTAGATTCATATAAAAAATACTAAAGCTTCAATAGCTCCATCACAAATTTCATCATAATTTCTGCTGTTCGTAATCGGTTCATGGATAAAAAAAACATTATACGATTGGTATAACTGATGTCGGGCGGGTACGTACTCACCTTACACCAAGTTAGTGTAGCTCACACCGAATGCTAGTAGTGGCGCGCACGCCCCGGTTTGGTGTTTGTTGTAAGCAGTTACCACCAAGTTGACAACTTGACAAAATAATAGAAATTTTAACTTCATATACTGGCTATTGCGGCCTCGCGCCATAATATGCGATAATAGCTTATACCATCTCCTTCCAATGTTGAATGGTTGCACTAATACAATGTGCAAAAGAAATGTTATAACATCGTTACCTTGCCATTCTTTATAATTTAAAAGTCCATAAGCAATAGTTTTTGCATTACTTTTACAGAGTGTTATGTGGATTAGCAGTTGACATTCCGCTCCGTTTGCATCTTCGTATTCAATTATTACGTAATTCTAAGTACTTATCAAGAATTTATTTATGAGTTATTTGAATAGAATTACTAGATGAATTAAACCTCCTTCTCTTGTCATATTTTTTTGAATTAATCGCATTAATTTTATTGTAATCAAAAATAAAGATAAAATTAAATTTTGTGTTAACAACGACTAAAATTGCTTAAAAATTATGTTTTTATTTCTAAAACAACAAATGTGTTTGTTTAGATAATAATAATAATACCGTTTCAAAATTTATAAACAAATATTAAAACATTTAAATAATTATTTCAGAACAATTAAAATTATGATGAAAATGAAATACGAATTCTATGATAAGTTATGGGAGGAAAGCGCTTTTTATATGAAATTTTTAAATTGACACCTAACTCAAAATATATAGAATACACCTACGGTTGTCTGTGTTTTACTAAGTAACCTTACAAAAATGTTGTCGTAATATCCAGAGGGTGCTAATATTATGTAAAATTTAAACCCCCATTCAAATGGTAATATCAATTAGATATTTTAAGACAATTAAAAATATCATCAACTTTTAAAATAATTGAAAATAAATCATTTTAATTATATAAAAAAAATCTTAAGAATTTTAACTATAACAGAATTTATTACTCTTACTAATATCAAGAGTACTTACTTATCAAGATAGTACTCATAATAATTAAAATATTACTCTTACTATCTATACTCTTGCTATATCAAGTAATTTTTATTTTTCTAAAAATAAGTTTCAAAATTTAAATTAAGTCATTATTGCTAATCATACTTTATACGGATACATATTACTAAACAGTAATTAAATAAGAACATAATTACTTGATAATTAGTATTGCAATCAATTTTTTACAGCATTATGTAAGTTCACATACAATTTTTTTAATTTAATTTAAGAATCGTTAATATATTGTTTTTTAAGTTAATTATATAAAATTATCTTTTTTCAATACACGTTTTATGTCTATAAACATAAATACCCAAGTACCTAAATATACTTTATTTGATATTTATCTGTATAAAACTAAATAATTTTTTCAAAAATTTTCTATGAAACTACTGAAAAAGAATGGCATAGACCATTTGGAAACTAGATAATTTAAATTAAATTTTTTAAATTAATTTGAAGTAACCAAAGTTATTTTCTTTGTCGATTTTTTCTTAATGGTTATTTATTGTTTATCCATTATCTTATCACACACATTTATCTCATAATTGATACGCTACAAATAAATATATGCATTTTTTTTTTATTAAGACAACTAAATATAAATTATTTATAATCATAACACAGTATTACATAAACTCAATTTTTAATCATGAACAAATTCAAGACAATAATATAATTTTATGTAGCTTATTTATATTTTGTATGAAACTAAAATATTTAGTCTACTAATGTTACTAAAATGTAAGGACAAACAAAAAATAAAATAAAAATAATTATTATAAAAATCACCAAAAAATGAAATCCTTATTAAGGATAGGAACTGTGGTGTATTTAGATGTAATACTCAGATGGGGTCATGCGTCCCCCATTTGATTAGATATGCTAATTTAATAATTATTTTTAATCTTTATCTATTATTCATAATCAATTTGAAATAAATAAGATTGCTAGAAAGGATTTCATATTATCTTGTCAATTAAAAAGATGGCTGAGCGCCTCTCCATCATCATGAATATCATACGCTTCCGGAAGAAAATAAATGAAAACATAAAAAATAAATAAAAACGCCCAAACTAAATATTTTCATTTACATATTTGTGGTAAATAGAAAAGCCAATAACTAATTATAAGTATAATTATTTTTTATAAATTATAAATAAATCATAATAATATAATATCTATTATTAACCTCAGGGGGCACCTAGTGTTACAGGTATGGCGAACCCGGGGTCCCAATCTCCACTCTCCTTACATCGTAAAAAAAGTAACCGCAAAATAAGCCTCGGAATTGGATAAATGGACAACGACCGGAACTGAAAAATGAAATAAAAATTCAGTTACAGTATTTACTGGACGCTATTAAAAAATATAATACAAACATATTAGCTCTACAAGAAATTAGATAGCCAAACGACAGAAGTATGAAAAAAGAGGATAAAACAATATTCTATAGCGGAAAAAAGGATGGAAGACATGAAAATGGTATGGGATTTGTAGTAAGTGACGACACACTACCACAAGTAAAAGAATTCATCGCAGTAAATGACAGCATATACTATATTCGACTCGCAAGTCGTATTTTTAATACAATTATTATAAACGCATATGCACCAACTAAAGAGAAAGAAGAAAATCTTAAGAATGAGTTCTACGATGAACTGGAGCTCATACATGACACAACAACAAACAGCTGTATCAAAATATTAATAAGCGACTATAATGCAAAAATAGGAAAGGAGGATATGTACAGGCCCACAATTGAAACGAATAGCTTACATGACGTAAGTAGCGATAATGGAACCCGGTTGATCAACTTGTGTTTAACGAAAGGCTTTACCCTTAGTAGTACATACTTCCCAAGGAAGGACATATACAAACAAACTTGGATAGCACCTAATGGAATAACTAAAAACCAGATTGATCACGTAATGATACAGAATAATCATAAACAATGCATAAAAAGCATTAGGAACTATATAAGTACAAACGCCGACTCGGACCATTACCTTGTAATTACAAAACTTTAAGTTAGATTATCTGAAAGATGGAAAAAGGTAAAAAATAAGAAATTCGTAAAATACTGTGTAGAAAAATTGTCAGAAAGGGAGGTATTGGAGGAATACATCTGTAAAACACAGCAAGAACAACAAAAGACCAACAAACATGCAGATGAAGATGTTGAACGGATATGGGACAGAATCAGAACAGTAGTTGTCAATAGTGCAAATAATTGTTTAGAAATAAAAAAAAAAAAGAAAGAAATGGTTTAATGATAGATGCAAGGACGCAATAGAGAGAAGGAATCGCGTACGAGAAAAAGCTATCAAGGACCCGATTGACATAAACATAGAAAGTTATAAAAACATTAAAGGAACCAATATAGTACTAAGATGTGAAAAAAGATTGACAGAAAAGAGAATGATTGAGGAAATTTAAGAAAATAAGAATTACCCCAGAAGATTTTTCAGCAAGACTGCCATCATTAAACGGGGATAAAAACCGCAGACTAGGATTTTAAGGAATTAATTAGATGAGTTAGTGACAAAAGAGGAATCAGTAGTAGAATAATTAAAAATACATTTTGAATATCTTCTAAATGAAACACCACCAACATCAATACACGAAGAAATAGATATGCAATATAGTACGGCGGAACCATATATCGAAACCCCAACAAAACGGGAAATCTGTAACATCATAAAAAAATTAAAATACAATAAATCACCTGGAGAAAACAACGTAGTAGCGGAATTACTAAAAAATGGAGGAGAAACGATTAAAAGTGAAATTTGGAAAATAATAAAGGTAATTTGAGAAACCGAAGTAATGCCAGGAGAGTGAAACACGGCAATACTATGCCCAATATTTAAAAAGGGAGATACACTAGACTCAACAAAATTACAGAAGAATTACCTTATTGGATACCTGTTATAAAATATTGTCGACGCTCCTTTTGGAAAGAATAACGCCGTACGTAGAGGACATCATAGGAAGATACCAATGCGGCTTTATAAAGGGAAAATCCACCGTCTACCACACATTTACCTTAAGACAAACAATGGAGCAAAACTATGACTTCGATAAGAACCTAAATATGATATTTGATGACTACAAACAAGCTTATCATAGTGTGAATAGACAAGAACTATGGAAAGCAATGATACATTTTGGAATCCCACAAAAATATGTAAATTTAGTAAAAATGTGTAATGATAAGACGTTACTTAAAATACGTTTCCTACTGAGATTATCGCCAGCCTTTGAGATTAATTTAGGATTGAGACAGAGAGATGCTTTATCCCTAACTTTGTTTAACCTGGAACTGGAAAAAGTTATAAGAGGAGAATCTTATGAAGACCGAATAATGGAAGTTTTTGGTAAAGAAACTGTTTTAGCATATGCTGATGTCATAGTTCTTGTAGGGAATACGCGAGAAGAAATTACCCACTTACTTTCTAAACTAAAGAAGCCAGCAAAAACATGGGTTTATGTATCAACAAAGAAAAGACTAAACTTATGATACTATTTAGAAGAATCGTGGACCAGTCAAACCTGAAAGTGGGAAGTGTGACTTTTGAAAAGGTGGATTATTTCAAATACTTAGGTGTTAATATAAACAGCAGTAACAACATGCAGAGGGAAATAAAAGAAAGAATATCGAATGGAAATACGTGTTACTTTAGTATAAACAAGCTATTGAGATAAAAACTGCTATTAAGAAAGTCAAAAATTACATTGTATACAAACTATCTTAGGCCAATAGTAACCTACGGTTGTGAGACTTGGTCCACGACAAAATATGACAATAGAAAACTTGCTATATGGGAAAGAAAAATATTAAGAATTATATGTGGACCGGTGTACAATGACTACCTAGGAATCTATGAAAAGAGACACAATGAAGAGCTGTATAGTCTATATGAAAAACCAGATATACTCACATATATAAAATGTAAACGTCTAGAGTGGCTGGGACATCTATGAAGATGTATTAAAGAATGTTCTTGATGATAGAAAAAATAAATAAAAAACGTCCACTTGGAAGACCAAGAACAAGATGGAAAGACACCGTAGAAAAGGATATGAAACTGATAGAAGAGCATGTAACATTAGAAATGACTTTGGATAGAGAAAAATGGAGAAGCTTACTAGTGGCAGCGCAGGTCCTTAATGAACCGTTAAGCTGTTGAAGAAGAAAAAGATATAACTATTATTACGAATTATAACAAAACAGAGTAGTATTTATGGGGAGCTCACGGGGTATTAGCCTTTCTTTCTTCCCAAAACTCATGTAACCATCAAATATTAAATCAAAAATGCTACTTTTAGAAGGATTTTTAGAAAGTAAAAAAAACAAGTCCGTATAAAGGTCTATATATAAAATTATTTTATTATTTTAATATTTATTTACATTTTCTATACATTGAAATAAAAATAGGTCATTTAGACATAAATTCGTTTCATATTACAAGAAATTTAAACACATAATGAATATTTTTGCACACTAAGTTTTTTTATTGCTCTTTAAGTTATATTTGACGTATTTCGTGTTTTTTTTTTTAAATTTTGTACACATTTCTTCAATACTAATTTTTTTTTATATAAAATACATTCATTCATTAAAATACGTGAGCATAAGTTCGTACCTATAGACTCCATATTTTAGTAATAAAATAAAGTAAAGTAATTATGATTACTATAAAACCATTGAGTAAATGTTCTTTTTTTATAAATTCGAATGACTGGTATACCTACTGATAGGAATTTTTTCAAAAGTCTCCAGTAGTTAGTAATTATTTAAGTCAAAATTTTAAAAATTCAAAAAATTAATTATTATAAAATGTTATATTAAATAATTTTTTAAATAAAGAATAAAAATAATTTCGTTTTTTAATGTTGCATCTTGACAAAGGCCATTTAACTTGAAAATTTAACAGAAAATTTATTTTAACAACACCAAGTAAAACTTATGTTTCATTTAAAATTGTGATTGGATTTGTAAAAGTATAACCAAGTAAGTTGAAACAACTCCAGCTATCTGTAATAGTTAAATTAAAAAATGTAAAATATGTAATTTATATTCATATTTTATATATAAATAATTTTACTAAGTACAATAAATTTGATCGACTTAACCTAAAACTAAAGAATTTATTCGTTCAAAGTACATTTTTAGAATATTACAATTACAATAGATGAAACTTAAATTACTTGAGTAATTATTAATATAAAGTTCCAGGATACTCGAGACCGAAATGAGACTAGTTTTTAGGACTGATCATAATCATACAAAAAAGTTGTTCAAAATACTTTTTCCTTGCTTTCTAAGTAATATATAACCATATAATAATGATAAGAAAAAATAATCTTACCATTTTATATGTGTAGACTTTCATTTTTATGAGGGTTTTAGGCCCCAAAAGTACACCCTTTATCTTGCTCTAAGTATACTATTAATCTTAGGTCATTCATAGCTAATATTTTTGTATATGATTTACATTAAACGTCATAAAAAGTTTTTTTATATTGTATGACGTATTCAATTTTGTAAATTCGTTATGGGTAACTGTAACTTAACACACTATCCAATATAGAAAAATCGTTATTATAGGAAATTGATATAACTGATAATATACAAAGCTCTTAGAAAATGTTTATTAAGGTACCATAATTTTCATTCGGGTAGAACTTATTAGTTGAATGTTTTTGAAATCACCAATCAATTTAAAATAATAAATGCTTAACTTACAGTAACAACTAGTGGTCGATCAAGTACAAATAAATTGTAAACTTTGAATTCCGGTATATTAGCTTCCATTTGTTCAACGTATGTTTCTATCTAAATATAGTATGTAAAAAAATTATTATTTTTTTAATCAAAAATGAATACTATAATTAGAATAAGCAGCAGACATTTATATTTAAGAAATAATCTAAGAAATGTTATATATGAATATATATAAAATATATAATATAAAAACATATGAAGTATATAAATTAATTAAAAAAAAAAACCAGTGCGTTTTACGATTACGCGCGGATGAAGTGAATCTTCTTTCAATCATTTAACTGATAAAATATTAGGTTTATAATGAAATAAAATAAAAAAACACACCTAAAATTTATATTTTCACTTTAAATTAATTTAACTTATTATTAATTTTCTTTTTCTATTGCCAAAAAATATGTAATGGTCTTATGATAACTGAAATAACTTGTACATGTTTTTAAATGGACGTTATTAAACATATCACACTAAGATATCGTGTGAACATTACATCTATTATGGTTCTTTAAAAATTTTTTATACCCAAACAAAATTTTTTTTTGCATTATAAATAACATTAATTCAATTTTCGAAAATACAGTGTTATATTATAATATAAAATCTATATTATTATTAATTAAAAAAGTATATAAAGAGTGATTGGTTAATAATAAACCATTCGATTACTCACAAAATAAATACAATATTGGAAAAATGAAATTTGATTTCCTTTAGTTACATATAATTTTTTATTTATACATATTTAACTAGCTTATAAAATAGGAAATAATCTAATTAAGAAAATGGCTGGTTGATAAAAACTTCGGGTCCAATGACTGGTTCAAAAAAAGTTGTTATTCACCAGTCACTTTTTTAATCAGAATTTTCTATGTTATAAGTTAATTAAATATGTAAGTTACTATTTAAAAAAATAACGTTCACATCCCTATACATAAGGGATAATAAAAGGAATAATAGTAAAAAGTAATTACTAGCTGATAAATCAAACTTCACTTTTCCAATATTGTATTTATTTTGCGAGTAATCCAGTGGTTTATGATAAACCGTTAACTCTGTATAGATAATATTTATTTTTATTTACATTAATATATATTATCAATTAAATTTATATCTACCACATATATATGTATATATTTAATTGTTTATTTATTTTAAAAAATGTACGGGTTGGTCTGGCCAAGTGGGTAGAAACGTACGTTACGGCACACGGAGTCACTGAGTTCAATCCCCAAAGTGTCAACGAGGTTTTTTTTGTGTTTTTCTCATTGCTGGTGTTTGATCTCTGGTGCAACCGCCCATAATAGCCGTCCCGTCATTTAATTGTCTATCTTTGACTTTCTAGACTTTCAGGAATAGAAGGATGTAAAATTGATTTTTTTTTTTTAATTTATATAAGTAAATGTAATACCCATAAGTTTTATTATTTATATATAATATAATATGATAAATTATACTTAATCATTATTTTATTAATTATTTATTATTGACATTTTACTTATTTGATTATAAATAAAAATAAATAACAATAATTACGAATAAATTATCAATATAGATAATAAATAGAATCTATATTTATTTTATTAGTAATAATAATAATAATATAAGAAGTAAATAATATTTTATAAATATCACTTAATTATATTTATATAATTGAAGTAAACTTCATTGTTTTAGTTCTTATAATTATAAAAATAAATGATTTAATTCAATTATGATATAAAATATATGTAACACTTTAATTTCGAAAATTAGTATTGTTGTTTAAAGTGCTTTAAATTTAATTAAATTAATTTAAATCAATCAGTATGTAATTGTACATCTTTATTTTAGAATTTGTGTAATTAAATTATTTTTTTAAAAAAATGCATTACGTTTTTTTAAATTCACATCAAGTGAATTAAATTAAAAAACCCAGCACAGTGGAGACGCGGCATAGTGGGGACGTTGCATAGTTGGGTCCAGTATAGATTTAATCTGACAGTGATTAAAATCACTATCATAAGAAACGCTTCGATGCAAATCAGTAGATAGTGTTTAATTCTAAGAAATTGGTGGATAATTACAAAAGCT